GATCACTTGGGTTGTTACCAACATCTGGTGAAAATTTCATGTCATTAGCACCTCTAGTAATATATTTACTGAGAAAAATGGAGACGTGTTCAATACTTATTTTACCCGCTGTATATTTGATCCCGACATTTCTACTCTGGTGAAGAAATGTGATGCTGCTAGTCAAAGTGACGTGAAAGTCACTTTGACCAACTGGATCAAGCTTGGGTTGTTCAGACATATGGGACAGATAAGAATCGGATTCGGGCCACTTCTGTCTGCAGTGTGAACACGCTGGCCTAATTTACAGCTCTGATCGTTTTCTACATCTTTATTGTTTGAAGAGTCTTTCACCAGCCTCCAATCCTCCTTTTGATTTAGAGATTTAGAGCTCCTCAGGTTAGAGTTCACCAGAAGGAAAAACGTTAACTAATGTTAGTTTTGAGGTCTCAGGTACAAAAAGAGTTCTGTGAACACTTTCATATGGATTATATAGTTGAAACTGGTTAATGTTTTTCTCCTGTTCTTTTTTTAAAATCAATTCTAGTTCTGATCGTTCTAGAGACTTTATTTTTTCTAAGACTAACCAGAGACTAAAAGACAAAATAGTCTTTTAACTAAGAGTCTAAATAAAGGCAATGTGATCGACAGGGAATTGTTTACTTTTAACATTTAAACATATACTGTAATTACTGTACAACATTGTGAAAAGTGTGTAATCATGTAACTGCCTATGTCTCAGAGTCTGTTAGCAAAATATCTCATAATGCACCTGACAGATTTTAAAGAACTTTCAGAAAGTAATCACTGCTGTCCAGTGGTGGGATGTAACAAAGTACAGGTACTTTGTTGCTGTATTTAAGTACGTCATGGGTACTTTTGACATTTACTCCACTACATTTTACATTAAGTATCAGTACTTTCTACTCCACTACATTTCTATAATGCATTAAATTACTAATAACATTCATGTCACGTCGCGTTACGTATTTTTTGTTTGCTTTTAGTTTGAAAGTAATCAATGGTGAGAGGGAGATTGCTGTAGTTGGTCCACTGAACCACTGCAGAGCAGGAAAGTACCATCAGATCCTCCTTCAAGAAAAGCGGAGTAAATCCTCATCACCTGCTGGATCAGCAGCAGCAGCAGCAGCAAGCCCAAAATGGATTCCACCACAGAGGAAACGTGCCACTCATGGCCTTATTTTAAAGACTTAATCATGTTCAAAACTTGAGATTTGATAAAGGACATCGGTGGAGAATTTACAGCTTCTGTAGCTGTCGTCACCATGTCTGATGATGCACACAATCACAGAATCACACTGTGAACAGTGTCACAGAGGGTAAACACAAAAACATGCATTGTTCACTAAAATGACCCATTGATGTATTAAAATATACATACAGTAGGCACACTTCATCATACTACTTTTAATACTTTAAGTAATTTTAAAAGCAAGTACTTAATTACTTTTACTCAAGCAAATATGTTAATGTGGTACTTTAACTAGAGTACATTTTTGTTTGTTTGTTTATCTGTACTTTTACTTAAGTGCAGTGTTTGAGTACTTTCTCTAGCACTGCTGCTGTCACTCTGCCACTCATTAACCTTTATAGTTTATTTGAATCCAAAAGCTGCCAAAGCAAACAGAAACGAAATCCAAAACAGTTTTAAAGATATTGGGCCTCATGCAAGAACCGTTCGTACGCACAGATTTGTTCTTAAGTTGTGCGTACGAGTGATTTAGGAGAATTTGTGGCATTCACCAATG